TTTTTTTTTTTTTTTTTTTTTTTTTTTTTTTTTTTTTTAGTATCGGCGTCCAGGAGCTGGAAGATTGAAAGCAGGAGGATTTCCACCAATTGCTCCAATTCCTTCCATTGTAGCAGCTTGCCCGAAACGTTCAGTTGTTAGTGGGGTCAATCCCAAAGTTCCATCTGGCATCATAGTGGCAGGTCCTGGAGGAGCTGGGGTACCAGTTGGCACTGGAGCAGGGGGCATGGCGCCTCTATTGTTTATGCCCATAGCACCTCCCATAGTCATTTGGCCCATCTGTATCTCTTGTTCTCTCGCATCAGGGAAGGTTCCCTTGAATCCTTCTTGCTGTCGCCGCATCATTTCTTCTTGTTGCCGCCGCCTTTCTTCCTCACGGCGCCTGCGTTCCTCTTCCGGCCTGAGCTCTAGCTGCTTTCGTTTCTGAACCTCTTGGTTATGCGGCTCCTCCATTCTCCGAAGTTCTTCCTGACGCCTCATCAAATCCTGCTTCATTAGCATAACCTGGTGCTCATGGCGTGCTGCCTCCATCTCCATCTCCAGCTTCTCACGAGCCTCCTTGACGTTGCGGTCCACTTGATCCTGCTGCTGCTTCTCCATCTCAATGAGTGCCTTCCAGCGCATGGCATACTCATACTCAAAGGACCCCGGCTGTGCAAATCTGGGTGGCTGTTCTCGCTCCTTGTGAAATTGCTGGTTTTTTATAACCAGCTTCTCTGGAAGTCCCTCCTCATCATCTAACTGGTCCATAGGCTCCACAGTCACAGGCCGAGGAAATGTGGTTAGCAAGAAGGCGCCTTCACTGCATCTGTCCAGAGCTTTCCGAGCAGCTGGCTTCCCTGAGAACTCAACAATGCCTTTCCCTGAGGGCCTTCCTCGGTCATCCACAATGACCACAGCCCTCTCCACGTGACCAAACACAGAAAAGGCTTCTTCCAGCAGTTCGTTGGACACATACTGAGGAAGGTTGCGGACTGTAAGGGATGCACTATGACAGGCAAAGCGCACACGCAGCTGCTTTCCACGGAGTGGCATATTATCCAACTCCACTTTGGCAATTTCCGCTAGGGTTCGTGTTTCCAAGCGAATAAAGCCAAAGCCTTTATCCTTATGCATGAAAACCTCACCTGCTTTCCCATATTTCTCAAAAAGTTTCCTCATTTCCTCCTCAGTGATGTCAGGAGGAAGATTGCCCACAAAGAGACGGCTTCGTTGGGTGAAAGTCTTCTCTCCTGGTTTCCTAAAGTTCTTCAGGTCAATGGTTAAACCTTCATTCTGGCTGCTGGCCTGCTGTCCATTTGCAGGTATTGGTGGGGGTGGTTGCTGCTGCTGCTGCTGTTGCTGCTGCTGCTGATGGTGCTGCTGGTGGTGATGTTGATGGTGCTTCCTTGGAGTATGGTTCTGCTTCTCCAAGTTAAAGGTTTTATTGCTCTGCATGTTTGCACCCTTGACTTCGATTTGAGCACAGCAAAGTATCTGCCTCCCAATCCTCTCTAACCCCAACTTCCTCTGCCCACAGTTCTTTGCTCAGAGTAACGGCGACGCTGCACGGCCTCCACCGTCCCCAGAAATATAACTTCTTATCTGAGAAAATTCAGGGTCAGACAAGCAGGAAAAGAGTGACTCAACAGGAGTCCAGAAGAAGAACTGACAAAGAGATGACTGGCAGATACAGAGGTGATAAATCTGATGCGTAAAGGAGGAGGCTGGAAGAGGAACTGTCGCCACATTCCTAGGCTAAGCCACTACAGGAAAGACTGAATATAGCATCAAGGACATGAAGAAGACCCAACTAGTACTTCAAACAAGGAAAAACTCATCTGAGAAAAATAAATATATAGGACTAAGGCAGGTTATGACAGCAGAAAGAAGGTGAATAATTTGGTGAGTGTGAAGACCATTCTTGGCTGTCAATTTGACTACATCAGGAGTTGAGTAAAACCCAGGAGGCTGGGCACACCTGGCAGGAAGTTTTTCTTGCTTAAATCATTCCAAGTGAGAAGACCCACTTTTAATTCAGATCCACCTTTAATCTGGGCCACACCTCCTGTTGGCAGTCTATAAAAAGGACATGGAGAAGGGAGTCTCTCTCTTTGCCTGTGTGCCATTACTCTGGCTGGCAAGTCCATTCCTTCACTGGCATTAGAGCCTACTTCTTCAGGATCCCAGAGTACACTGAAGACCAGCTGAGACATCCAGACTCATGGACTGAACAACTACTGGATTTTTTGACTTTTCATTGGTAGACAACCATTGTTGAATTATCTGGACCACAGATAATTTAAGCCACTTTAATACATCTGCTGTCTATATGTATACATAGATTCATTCTATCAGTTCTGTTCCTCTGAAGAACTCTGACTATTACAATGACATAGCAATTGAAATTATTCAAAATGTACAAGAAAGAGATAATATCTGGGAGACAAAGAGGAGAAACTGAGACAGACAGACAGAGATCACTGTGCTTTGGCCAGTCAAGAGCTTAGTAAACTTTTTGTTCTGGTCCTCAAAAGAGAGGAAAGAAGGAAGAGAAAATAACTGGAGAATTAACTGGTAAAGTTAGGAGAACTATAAGTCTTTAGGCCCAAGAAGTTTAACGAATCCCTAAATATGAAATGGGACACAAGCTGGAGAGATAGCCCGGCAGTTAACAGTGCTTGCTGCTCTTCCAGCCACCAAAGCTTGGTTCCCAGTCCTCATGCTGGGCAACTCACACCCAGCTCTAGGTGACTGGCATACTCTTCTGGCCTTCGTGGACAAGTGTGCATATGTAAATACTATTTTAAAAACGAAAATCTTGCAGGGAACACAATGATCGAGTTAGTGAAAATGAATGATAAAGGATAAAAATTGTGAAAATAGAGCAGGGGATACCTCATGCAGAGAGAGAGAAAGTCAAGAATGAAGCTAGATAGTGTCTTAGAAGCCAATGGAGAAAGGGGATACTGAGCAGCTTCTTTACACTGGGACAAAAGCAAAATAACAAATAAACAAAGCCCTGTCCAAGGCTAGCTTGGTGGCAAATGGCTGTATGTCACACTTGACAGGGAAATCAAGAGTTAAGGTCATCCTTCTCAAATAGGGAATTACAGGGCAGCCTGGGCTACATGAAACACTGTCAGAATCATCAAGCAATCAGACAAATAAACCAAAATACCAAAACCTGTCCAGCTATAATTCTGTTCCCAGAAGAACAAAAATCAAATAACAAAACCTTTCAAACTCAAAGCCCCCTTTCAGGCATCAGATAAAAATATCTGATTCTTAAAAAATTGACGCAGGCAAAATTGTGAAAATATTTGTAGATCTAGAACCTAAACCCCCAGTCCCCCTATAACCCAAGCCACCAGTCCCCCAACGTATAAACTAGCCCATGACTAATAATACACCCAGCTCATCTGAAGAGGGACTGCTAGTAAATATTCAGAAGATGCAAATTTGGGTTTCTTTGCTTTGAGACAAAGTTTGATGTAGCCTAGGCTAGCTGGAAATCCCAGTCCTCCTGCCTCCACTCCTGGAAACTGTGATTACATGTGTGTACTTCTATGCCTGGCTCAAAAACCTCATAACTGGAAAACTACAAAGAGCAGCCATACCACTAAACACTTATCTTATTAAAAGTCATAGCTTTCCATTGCTTTAGAGATTTGTGAAAAGAGAGCTATTCTTTTTATATATTTCTGTCCAGTGAAACTGATGCCCCTTTCTCCCCATACAGTAATAGCATAGTACTACAATGGCTGAAACAGTTTACACACAAATATCTACAAACTGGATTCCTTATTAATGAATTGTCGGGCATCCTAAATTAGAACCGATGAGCAGAACACTTGATAAATTAAATTATTTTAATGTTATTAATGTTAGCCATTAAGAAGACAGAGTATCTGCAAGAATATCTTTACGCTGGTGATTAAGCTGGAAGGAATTGCTATGGAAATGCTTTTGCATTCTTCCAAGTAATTAATGAGAAGAGATAAACAGATTGTAGTTTTACTGTAAGGCTTCATCTTATTAAAAATAACTGTTACCATTTTCAACAGGGGGAACATGAGAAACCTTAGGCCACGGAGTAAGAGTAACTGCTGTCCATCTCTCTGGACTGTGCTTGTCTCTGGGACTGTTTTAGATAGAGAAAAGTATTCATCAGTGTTTGTTGGACAGAATTCTGATATGTCAGGACATTTTGGGTACCTCTAGAAAAGATACCTTTAAAAAAAAAAAGGATTAAACCCCTGCTACAAAGTCAGACGAACGGCCCTTTCCTTACTTCATCTGACATCTTGATTTACTTAGATCACTAAATGGCTTCCCTTAAAATTCAAAGAAGTCAGGTCCAGAATGATGGATAAAGACGCTTGCAGCCAAGTCTGGCCATCTGAATTCAATGTGTGGAGCAGAACTCATGTGGTGGAAAAAGAGAACTCCCTCAAAATGTTCTCTGACCTCGGCACAGGCTCCATGCCACAGGTGTGCCCACACACATGCACAATAAATAAATGAATGTTATAAAAAAAGGTTAATTCAAAGAAGTAAAGTTAAAGGCCATTGTGTGCACTCTGAGCTTCCGCCTCATCTTAGAAGTTCCAGGTGAATGTTCATTTACCTGAAGGGACTCTGGCCAGCTCAAGCACAGCAAACACGGCTCTGGCAGATCATGCCCTTCTCCTCCGTTCACTTTGCCTTGGTACAAACCATGAGAATACACTCCAGCAATCAAAAGCCCCCTTTGGCTCACCTAATAAACTTGTCCAATCAAAATTAAACATGTCATCCTAACACGGGATTTCCCTTTTTGCCTTTTTAAACCGCCATTTTCCACCTGGGCTGCTTAGTGAGTTTGAGACCAGTCTCGGCCTCAACTACAGTGAGAGTCTGTCCTTAAAACAGAATATTTGAAAATTATCTTTGGAGTATTTGGGTTCCATTTTCTCAACTTGTAACATGCTAATTTTCTACTTTAAAATAAAAATATTTCCTCAGTTAGAAATATTGAAGAAGAATATTGAGTCAAATAATATACAAAGTAAACGAGGGTTCATGGCAGTAAAGAATGAACTAAACTATACAGGCGAGCCAGGTTTTAGAATATTCCCTACTGATCACCCTGACACAGTTTGACAGCTGTCTTGGAAGCAGAGCAGACAGACACTCAGACATCTGTTTAAGCAGCCTGTGTTTTGTTTTTCACTGTCCTAGGTGGTTAGCACTCAGTAGCAGATTGAACTGCCAAGCCTACATGCCACACTCACGGTGTAGTCTAAGGGCTCTCTGTGGGTAATCTGGACTGCACACATTTCGTGAGCTTTCCTCCTCACTGTCAGCATCACCTTCACTAAAAGAGAAAATTCCACCTGGTAATTGTACCAGTGTGGCTGGGGTACCAGTGCACTTAACTGAGCTCAAGGTGTGAGGCTGAGTCACCTTCAGGTTAGGATGCTGCCTGTGTCTACAGATGGCTGTATTACTTTTATCCTATACAGCCACCAAATCACTCCTGGTTTTCTTACTTTGATTAAAACATCAACACTTGCGCTGGCAAGATAGCTCTGTGGGTAAAGGCACCTGCTGTACAAACCTAATGATCTGAGTTTGATCTCTGGCTTGAGCTCCATCTGAGGAGCCCATGGTGAAAAGAGACAATAAACTCACAAGAGTCCTCTGATCTACACAACCACAAACATACACATGCACACACACCACATATACACCATAAATTAGATATTCAGAAATAAGCTGTTGACCTGGTCACATTTCGTTTCAGAGACAGAAGTAGTTTTGGACCTGGGCACACAAGTGCTTAAGATGGCTTCAGTGGTTTCTAACCAAGAACCTCCACCAAGGCTGTCATTTCCCCCAGTAAAGCAGGTAGAGGGCAGAGATGCAGTCCCTGAGACCCCATTGTCTTCTGGTAGGTAGAATGCTGTTAAATGGAGGCTGTTCATTCATTTCCTGACTGCTCAGACCTGAATAATCACACAGAAACTATGTTAATTACAATACTGCTTGACCTATTAGCTCAGGCTTTTTATTAACTAACTCTTACATCTTAAATTAACCCATTTCTATTCATCTGTGTATCATCACAAGGCTGTGACCTACCAGTAAGATTCCTTTGACAGCTACACAGAATCTTCCTGACTCTGCCTACTCTCTCCCTATATCTCTGTTCTGATTTCCTGCCTGACTTTATTCTGTACTGCCATAGGCCAAAGCAGTTTTATTCATCAACCAATAAAGCAACACATATACAGAAGGACCTCCCACATCAGGATGCTTCAAGTCTCTGAGTGTCCACAGGGCGGTTACACTTCTCTTGAAGGGCTGTTCCCCATCCCACTGCTTCTGACGGTTGGCTCTAGCCTTCACTGGCAGTGTTCCTCTGCATGGCTGATGCCTTATTCTCAACCTGGATCCCCTCTTCTGAGGAGGAGAGTTGCCTGACAAACTCTTCTTCTTCAGGTGGGTATCCTAGCATCGGGGCCTCTGCCTCCCAGAGAGCTGAACTCCACTTTACTTATGGATCTCCTACATGAAACTGAGCTTAAAGGCCAAGCCGAGGAGATTC